ATCTCTTTAATTCCTATGGCGCCTCCAGAGTCTGGGACGCTGTGGCCTCGATGATACTTATGGAATAAAGGAAGGAAGGATGGGATCGGGGTAGGAGGAAAGAAGAAGAAAGGAAGGAAGGAAAGTTAGATGGGTGGATGGATAGATGGACGGATTGAGAATGAGGAAGGAAGGAGGGAGAGAGACCATGAGTGGGCAGAGATGGATGGGTGGGTGGGTGAAAAGGGAAGAAGAAAGGAAGAAAAGTGTAGGCCAATGGCTAAAGTGTGACTTGGGTAGAGCAGGTGCTGAATCCCTGAATGTGATCCCCACTAACACACACACACACACACACACACACACACGTGAAAGGGAAGAAGATAGACCTCCAGGGTGGTAAGAAGCTTGCTGAGTTCCTTGGCAAGCACACAGTAGGTGCTCAGTAAAATGGAGCCATCATTATGCTCCTGACTCCTTCCTGTGACTCAGTGGTATGTCATCATCCCCAACATGTGGATGCGGAAACGAAGATTCCAAAAGAAACTAGGTCCAGGCATTGCAGAAGCTGCTCTGTGCTCCTCGCTAAGCTTAACAGAGCTCTGCACATGCCCTTCAGAGGGGAAAGAAGGCCTCCCAGCCAGACTGCTCAGGCCACAGCCTGGGAGCACCATGACGCGCTGTGGTTGGGACATCTAAGCCTGGTGGCCCCACCCACTCAGAAGACTGCAGCATCACCCTCCTATCACCCTGTGTTTGGTGAAGTCACACCTCTGTGCTCAGCTGTCTCCCCAAAATGACTGTGGGCCCTAGCTCTTCTCACCTGTGGGGGAGGGCCTGATCTCCACCCTGACGCTGTCACAGGGCCCCAGAGGGATAGGACAGGAAGTCATTGGAGGAGAGCACCCCACCTCTGCCTGGGGAGCCCCTCTCCTACCTCTGAGGTCAATGAACAGGCACAGAAAGTATACCTTGATTTCACCTAGCAGACACCAGCTCACAGGATCCCGGTCACTTGCCATCAATTCTCTGCTGGTGGCTATTGTGGCCACTCTAGGGTCACATTTTTTTTTTTAATGTGGAGTCTAGCAGTGTTGTGAGGCTAAACTCCTGGACTCAAATGATCCTCCTGCCTCAGCTTCCAGAGTACCTGGAATTCCAGGCATAATCCACTAGGACACCCAGCAAGAGCCAACTTTTCTTTTTTTGGGGGGGGTACCAGATATTGAACTCAGGGGCATTTGACCACTGAGCCCCATCCCCAGCCCTATTTTGTATTTTATTTAGAGACAGAGTCTGAGTTACTTAGTGCCTCCCTTTTGCTGAGGCTGGCTTTGAACTCCCAATCCTCCTGCCTCAGCCTCCGGAGCTGCTGGGATTATAGGCATGTGCCACTGTGCCCAGCCAAGTGTCAACATTTAACTTGCCTGGATCTGCTGACTCCACAAGGCAGAGGCAAAGCCTAGCAGAGAGTGTTAGTGGTGTTTGCTGAGTAGGTGAGCAAGGGACAGAGCAAGCAGGAGGGAAAAGGGGCCAAATGTGTGCATGAATGGAGAAATGAAGGAAGAAAGCAAGGAAGGAATTGCACAGCTGGCTGTGAGCCTCGCTATGTTGAAGGGTGTTAGAAGAAGACACACAGGGGAATCACATCATCTGAATTAGTCAAAACTGGATCCAGCCCTCCTTGGCCATAGTTAGACCAGAACACAGCCCAGCCCGTGACGGTGTGCACTAAGCACGGCGTAGGCACTGCGAGGCAGCCAGGGCGCATGCCCTTCATCCCAGCAACTTGGGAGGCCGAGGCAGGATTGCAAGTTCCAGGACAGCCTGGGCAACTTAGCAAGACCCTGTTTCAAAATAAAATAAAAGGAACTGGGGGATAGCTCAATGGTACAGCACCCGTGGGTTCAATCCCCAGTACTACCAAAGGGATGGGGGAAAGGGTGTTGCAAAACATGTCTGGGGCAAGCAATAGACTTTTGTGGAGTTAGGGCACAGACCTGGCTTCTCTGCTGTGTAACTGAGTGTTTCCAGTGTGGTGCTTTGAACTCAGGGGTGCATTTCCAATTGAGGGAAAGTACCGCATAGGATCCAAACCACTGGCCTTCAAATTCCAGCCCAGTGGGCTGAGATTGTGGCTCAACAGTAGAGCGTTCGCCTAGCACTCACGGGGCCCTGGGTTCGATCCTCAGCACCACATAAAAAATAAATGAATGGAATAAAGGTATTGTGTCCAACTACAACTAAAAAAATAAATTTTTTGAAAAAAAAAAAAAATCCCAGCCTGGCCTCTTGCTACCTATAGGATCTTGAGCAAATTCCTTGAGCAAACACCAAGACTTGATCTTGTCAGCAAATAACTGAGGTCCAAAAACCAGTGCCAATGTCTTGGTAAAAAGACAGTGATGTCTGTTGCAAAATTGTTCAGAATGGAAATGACCTCAACCACCGTCAGAAGGGAAATGGTCGCATTATTGTTGTAGGCTCAGTTCTCTAATGGAGCATCAAAGACAGTTGACTCATCCCCCTGGGCCTCGATAGAGATCTCTGAGGGCTGAGAAGACAAAGCAAGGTGCAGGCAGCTGTTTGGAGGGTGCAGGTTTTGTTTTAGACAACAGATCTATTTGTATAGAATATTTCTGGAAGGTATGCAAAAAACCGGGGAGTCGGGGTGTGAAGATATGAACCTTTTTACTGTACTTGATTGTGCCCTGCTTGCATTTTCCATGAGCTTGGGGGTTTTCTTTTCTTTTTTTTTTTTTTAACATTAAGCACAGAATCGTGGTCAACTGTACACACACCAGGAAAGAAACTTGGTCACGGCTGTTTGGAAGAAGGGAAAATTTAGTACCAATGACATCAAAGACAGGAAATGGTATTTCCCTGTTAAAGACTGTGGAAGGACCAGGTGGGGGGCACTGGGCAGGGCCCAGAGACCCCTCCAAGGGGCCCACCAGTCACCTCATTGCTGGGAAACAAGCTGACCTGCCTTAGAAAGGGAACCCCAGCAGGGCCACCCCCTAGAAGGGACTCTCCAACCCCCAAAGGGAGGCAACCATTACTGAGCAACCACAGGCACGGGGACACAAAAGATGTCTCCATCGGGGGACATACACAATCACACAAATCAAAATAGATACACCACTGGGCACAATGGCACACACCTGTAATCCCAGCAGTTTGGGAGGCTGAGGCAGGAGGATTGCAAGTTCAAAGCCAGCCTCAGCAACATAGCAAGGCCCTAAGCAACTCAGCAAGACCCTGTCTCTAATAAAATACAAAAAGAAGGGCTGGGGATGTGGCTCAGTAGTTAAGTGGCCCTGGGTTCAATCCCTGGTAGCAAAAAAAAAAAAAAAAAAAGACACACCATGCAGACACATACACAATCACACATACCTGGACACACAATCATAGAAACACAGGCAAGCACCACAAACACACACAAAGAACCCACACACGGACACACAGTCAGGGTATATAATCAAGCACACTGTGATAGTGAGAATCCCAGGCTCAGGACACACAGAAACATCTATGGTCTCACATACTCACTAGCACACAGTCTTAAAAAGATTCAAGGGGGCTGAGGATGTGGCTCAAGGGGTAGCACGCTCTCCTGGCATGCGCCGAGCAAGTGCTGGGTTCGATCCTCAGCACCACATAAAAATAAAGATGTTGTGTCCACCAAAAACTAACAAATAAATATTTGAAAAATTCTCTCTCTCTCTCTCTCTCTCTTCGAAGAAGAAGAAGAAGAAGAAGAGGAAGAGGAAGAAGAAGGAGGAGGAGGAGGAGGAGGAGGAGGAGGAAGAAGAAGATGATTATTCAAGGACTCTGGGATATACAGAGACACAAAATATCAGACACCCAGGGTCACTGAACACACACAAATCACACACTAAAACAGATCAATCTTCAGACATCAATCTTGTGAACACACACAAATCACACACTAAAACAGATCAATCTTCAGACAACCAAATCAACAAGAACACAGAGGAAAGAACCATAAAAACCAGGACTTATCCCCAGAAGAGACCTAGGTCAACCTGAGGCCACCAAAGATCCACCTCCTCCCAGAGAAGACCCAAGTACAGAACACCCAAGATCCATACCCCTAGGCGCCATCAAAGTTCCATCCTCTCCCCTGGGACCTCAGCCCCCACCCCTCACACCACGTAAGACCCATATTCCAATAGGAGGCCCAGGCCACCCCATTTGGGGACCTGGTTCTCCCTTCTCTTCTTTGAGGAACCCGAGTCCACGTCTGGGTCCCGTTTCTTGGCAGCGGTGTCCAGTGAGAGCAGCGGGCGCCCCCTGGTGGACCCGAGCCTCAGCCCAGGACTGGACCGAGAAGGGGCCCGGGAGCCAAGATGCTTGGGGGTTCCGCGGGGAAGTTCTCAGGGTCTTCCCGAAGTCAGGTGCACAGCCTGGGGAGAAAAGGGCGTGGACGCGGAAGAGCAGAGATGAGCGGCCGGAACCGGATCAAACAGGGCCCTAGACGGGAATCCAGGCCACAGACGTGGGTTGGAAGCTGGGAGGACCGTGGGACCGAAGACACCCCCGCGGTCACCGTCTGCAGCTCTGCGTCCCCGCCAGGCCCGTGCTGCTTCCGGAACCTGGAGAACCGAGCCCCGAGGCCGACTCCCACTGGGGGGCGCCGGTGCAAGGAGGGCGGCGAGGGCAGCTGGTCGCGCGGCGGTGGGACAGAGTTGAGGATCCTGCCAGCCCCAGGCTCCCAGCCGGAAAGTGACAGCGAAGCATCACTCAAGGTCTGGAACCCCAGCGTCCAACCGGGACCACCAACACCGATCTGCTCGCGGCCTTTGGACCCTAGAGAAAGGCAGGCCGCCCATTTCCAGGGTCGACCCCAGCCTCCCCGCCCCCCCACTCCCCTTGTCATTCTCCTAGGCCCCGCCCACTCCCCCTCCCGGCTCCTTCAGCCCCGCAGGCCCTGCTCAGGGCCCCATCCCTCCCGGTTCTCGGTCCTTCTCCTCCTAGACACCCCCCCCAGCCGGCAGCCTCCCAGGCCCTGCCCATTCCCCGGACCCCGCCCACCTGCTCCGGCGTTCTGTCTAGGCCCCGCCCACAAGAGTCCCACCCACTTCTCTGTCATTCTTCCCACTCTCCCCAGGCTCCCAGCGGTTTGCATTCGGTCCCGCCCACTCCCCAGTCTCTCCCGCCTCCCCGAGAGTCACCCCCTTTCCCAGCCCGGGAAGTGGGCGCTGCCGGTCCTCCTGCCCCACCCCTTGATCGGCCTTAGTCCAGCACCACCCTCTCCCCAGGCTTCGCCCCGCTGTGGTCTCTTATCTCCAGCCGTACCCCCTTTTTCTCTGTCGCACCTTTCCAGAGCCCAGCGCCCTCTTGCAGTCCAAGCCTGAGACCGTCCCCATCGCTCACCCGACTCCCCTGGAGACTTCAGGGCCTGCCAGTCTGCTCCGTCTTTTTCCTTTAGGCCCCGCCTCTGTTAGGCCCTCCTTTCTTCCAGACCCCATTCACACCCCAGAGCCCACGCCGGAGCCGGCACCCCCCCCCCCGTGTGGGATGGAGGGGTGTAGTTAACTCCCTAACCTACAGAAAGAGGCCTCGGTTTCCCAGACCGCGTCTTGCCTCGGGGAGGGCCCGCCCCACTGGCCATCTAGGTGCCTCCCAAAAATGGGACACTGCCCCTTCCCATGATGGTCTTCACCATCCCTGTTGGCTTCCCCCACTTCACCCCTCCTGGCTCGTGAACTCTCACCCCAGTCTGGGTGGGTACACCCACCTCATTGCTCCCCGACTCTGCCTCGCAATCGATCAAATTCAACACCGGGTCAAGGCCCTGTGCAGACGATCCCCACTCACTCTGCTGCTGAGCTCCGGGACCACCAAGATGTTGGTGGCTTTGTACCTGCTCTGCTGGTGCGAGGTGAGCCCCCTCCCCACAAGCCTTGAGCCCTTTTTTCCAAAATCCAAGTAGCTGTGGAGGGATCTGTTTTATCCGAGGGTCACCAGATTGGGTGGCCAGCTGTCTGCCCTACTGTGTGTAATTGTGTGTACTTGTCTCATCCCTGTGTGGGTCTCTGGATCACTGTGTGCTTGCGTCAGTGGGAGAGAAGGGACTCCACAAAAGTGTTTGTTTTTTTTTACATGACTGTGCATCTGTCTCCTGGGTTTTTGTCTTGCTTCTTTGGGGGTTGTGTGTTTGTGTTGCATATCTGTGATTGTGTACACACTGCTTGTGGTACCTGGCTCTGTGGGCAGTATACATATGATGGGTGAGCACATGCGTGAGTCTGCATTAGATCTGGCTATGTCTGTCCTGGTGTCTGAGAGTAGCAAGTATCTGTATTTGACTCAGTATGTGTGTCTCTCACTGGGTCTCTGTGCCTTGCTGTCTGGCGATCAGTTGCATTGGGAAGGTGTGGCATTTATTGTGTGTGACTGGTGACTCCCATGCATGTACACAGCCTGTGGGAGCCTGATTATGTGTGCATCTGGTTGAGGGTAAATCCAGTGGTGTCTGTATTCAGAGTGTGTCTGAATCCACGTGAGCCCCTGTACTGTGTGTACATTATGCTGTCTGTGTGTAGCTGAGTCTGTGTGTCTGAGTTAGACTACAGTTATGTCAGTGTTTGTGTTGGATTCTATGAGTGTGCATCGGCGTCCATTCGCCTGTACTAGCCTGACGTCTAAATACATGACTGCCACATGTCATCTCCTACCAACTTCACAGTGGGCAGAGCCAATGACCCAAGTGCCATTCCCCACCAGCCCAGAGAAGGAGTCAGGGTTCCAGCTACCTGGTTCTGTGAGACTTCAGTGGGTGGCCGAAAGAGAGGGGTGGGGGGCCCAGGGGGAGACCTTTGGGGTGGGTAGAACTGACAGAGAGCCAGCACATTCTGGAGACCAGCCCTGCCCTGCTGACTTGAGATGGTGGTGTCAGGAGCTGAGGATCCCCAGGCCCTACTCACACAGGACCTTTACACTAACCTGCCCCAGCCCAATCAGCTACAGCAATACAGATCCCAAATAAGACCACGCGTGCAAACCAGGCTAATCCACGGACACACACAAATACACACACGCACACAACATGTACCCATCTCATTCACATGCCTAGAAGTGCCACAGTGACCCACCCCACTCAACCCCCCACCACCTCACACAGCTGAGAGGACCCCACCCCTGGACGGGCCCTGCACAGCCTTCCTGCTTCCCACTGTGTCCAGGCTGTGGAGCCAGGGGGCAAGAAGGCCCGAGGAGAGTAAGCCTCAAGTAAGGCCCTGAGTGGTGGCTCCTCTGCCCCTGCAGGCAGGGTCCCCACACTGCTGGGTGAGAGCAGTTTGGTAGCACCCCGATTCCAGGGCTGATTTTGCAACAATACCACTAGCACCTAAATACCCTCTAGTGTCCCATCACTTCAGGCAGGACTCGTGCTCATGGCTCCAGGCTGCTTGGCCTGCGGCTTTGAGGCCCCCACTGCCACCACCTCAGAGGTGTGTGACTGTGCGCTTCACCCTTTTTCCTGTAAAGTGGGAAGCCCTGCCCGAGGCAGCAGGTGTCCCGTCTCTTTTACTACTGAGATGGGAACGTTCCCGCTCCGTGGTGTAGAAGAAACCTTTCACTGAGGAAAAGGTAAGATTTGAAGGAGGTAGAAACTTACAGTACCCCCCCCCCGGGAGGGGGTGGGGGGTGAGGGCTCTGACCTTTGGCAATTTCCCTTAACTGCCAAAGTTCTCCTGCTGCCAAAACTAAGTCCACCAAAAGTATCCGACAAATTCCTCCCATGACCCGGCCCCGCTAAACCCTAGAAAACTCAGAGCCTGCTGTAGCCAGTGGCCATTTCCCTCTTGAAAATATGCCCCTCTGCATCACTGATTCGTTGAGGTCTGTGGCCGTTTCTTTGATTTGCTTTCAAGACTCACCCCCTGTTGACACCGGATGGAAGGAACACCGCCTCTCTGGCAAGGGCCAGGGCCAGAGGAGGTTGAGCCCCTTCCCTAACAGAGAAGACCCCCACCCCTGCTCCTCCTGCACAAAGCATAGGAGCCTGCCCCTCCTCTGGTGGCCTGGGACAGCTCCCCTCTCCAACAGGGGGAACAGCCTGCCTCTTTCTCCTGGTGGAAAGGGAAGTCTGTCTTCTTTTCCTGTAAGAGAAGTCCCACCCCTCAAATACGGAACAGGAAATCCTGCCTGTGTCCAGCAGAAGATAAAGAGATGTCCCTCCTCCCCTTCCTAGTCTGGCAGGAAGTTGCCCCCCCCCCCCCCCCCCGCAGATACGGAACAGGAAATCCTGCCTGTGTCTGACATAAAATAGGGAGGCATCCCACCCCTCTCCTTGATGAAATGGGAGGCCCTGCCAACTTCCTCTTAAATAGGAAATCTTGTCAGGGGAAAGCCTCCATCTTTGCCTGTGAGGAAATGAGCAGCCCCACCTTCTGCCTGGTAGCCCTTTCCTGTAGGAAAGGAAGAGTGGAAAAGCAACCTGTCTGGATCGAGGATTTCCCTCAGCTCCCATTAGTGACTGTGCCCACCCCATGCAGCCATAGATCAGCCCGGGAGAGATGATCCAGGAGAGTCCAGGGCCTGAAGGAGAGCTCAGCAGCCATCATCAACACCTATGTGTCATGGCCCAGATGACCCCAGGGAACCCACGGCCCCACTCCCTGTCGCTGTGCCTGCCAGACCCTGGCTCCGCAGCAGGAACAATGACCACATCACCAACTACACCTGCACGGGGCACCCTGCTCATGTCCAACACCAGGCCAGTGGGCAGGGAGGGCAGAGCTCAGGAAGCGTCTCCACCCCACCAGCCCCGCGGATCTCAGCGCCCCTCCTGCCAGGACGTCCCTCCACTCGGAGCAGGCCTCCTCCGGGACGCACTGCATGTATCTGGGGTGAGTGCTGGCAGGAGGTGGCCACATGCCCGGCAAGGCTAGAGGACACTCCATTGTCCCCTCCACCCCCACGCCACCCCCACCCTGTACCGGGTGCAGCGGTGCCAGGCACCGTGTGCCCAGAGCTTGTGTTGCCCCTGGAGTTGGGAGGGCTTCTCTCCTCTAAAGACTCATTCAGCATCTCTGCTCCAGAACAGTAACTTCCAGAACCCTCCTCCTCCCCTGCCCACAGCTGGAGAGGACCCATGCCAGGCTGGTCCACACGCAGGACTGAGTTCTGCCAGGGCAGAGGGAAAGAAAACAAGACCCAGCCGAGGTAGAGGTCTGAGGCCAGGGCAGTGAGGCGGAAGGAAAGGCCCCGCGGCGGAAGGAAAGGCCCCGCGGCGGGGGAGGCGGGAGCTCTGGGAAAGAGCCAGGAATGGCAAGCCCAGGACACAGAATGCAGACCCAGATGCTGGGAAGCCAACTGCAGGCATCACAGCCAGCCCCAGGGCACCCACGCTCCATGGGAGGCAGACAATGACACGCACAGAGGCCTGGGCCATGGCCACGTGACAGTCACACGGCTGCTCCACACTGGCAGCATCTTCCTCCTGAGAGACTGTCTGTGGGACTGCTGGCCTTTTTAGACCAAGTGACGATGTGGCTATAACCTATACAGCATCCTATGGAGATAAAGGGCATGGGCTTTGGACCCAGAACACGCAGGTTCCGTTGGCTCTGTGCCCAGCTTCAACAGTGAGTGACTCCAGGTGAGACTCAACCTTGGGGTCTCTGTCTTCTCACCATGGAGCAGCACTGACAGCCGTCTGCTATGTCCTTGTCCCCATGCTGAGAATGGATCCCAGGGCCTCACACGTGATCAGCATGTGCTCTACCCTTGATCCAGGCACCCAGTCCCCAAAAATGGAAACTTTGTTTCTTCTTTTTCACCTCTAAATCAGGAGCCCAATCCCTGCTTTGCTTTCTGAGAGTTCTCTTGGAGCCCAGGGACTCGGCTGAAGGTTTCTGGGGTGGCTTCTGCACCTGGAGGCTGGCCCCTTGCAGGAGGTGGGAGTACTGGGCCCTGGTGTCAGGCCACCTGTACTGTCTCAGCTGCCTGCATGATAAAACTTCAAATCAACATTTTACCCATCTCAACACCCAGACATAGTCAGTAAAACCTTCTTACAGGGATGGTTTGGGGGGCCACAGTCAGCACCTACTTTCTATGCTAAATTCCATTTTCTTATAAAACTGCAAGGTAGAACATCCTGAGAGTATGGACACCCAGGATCAGACAGATGAGGGGCCATAAAAATTCAGCCCCTCTAGCTATGGGCTCCCAGTCCTCACGGTGCCGCCTGCCTGCTCCCCAGCTCCCTGTGCAGGCTGCTGCTGGGGACAGAGGCCAGCTCCTACAGCCCGTGGCCCAGCTTTCTCATATCCCTGGCTGTGCTCCCTGGCTACATTGGATTAGTGACATCACCCTACAACATGGTCATTGGACTACTATGGAGAACACAGATGGCTTTCTGGGTGGCAGGTGATACTATGGGATGCCTGGGTAGCAGGATGAGTCTGCCTGCCTGGGGACCCTGGGCACACCTGGCTCGTGTTACATCCTAGGATTAGAGCCTCACAGGGGGTCAGACTGGGAGGAATCCAGGTGATGTCACCCACCCCACACCCCTCTTCCTCCATCTCCACAGGCTGTTTACGTCACTGGTCTTCCTACATCTCAGGCAACTCCAGAGCTCAGCAGGCCACACACGGGAGGTCACCCCTGTTCTCTGTTCTCTTTCCTCTGGACTCCCTGAGGGCCATCCAGGAGCCCAAGGGATGCCCTAATCCAGACAAAGATAGAGAAGATCCCTGCAGGAGTTGGATTCTCCAGGGAGCTGTCCTTCCCGGGAGGGTCATCCAGGTGGTCCCACCTCTCCAGGGTGGAGTCCACACCCCAATTCAGCCCTGCCCTGGTGGGATGACGCAGAAAACCCCACTTTCCAGGACCAAGCTCACACACTCCATCAGCCCCTCCTGACAAGGCCACCTCCTTTTCTATTCCATTTTTTTAAGACTCCCATTATATTAAAACATTAAGAAATGCCACTTCCGGGTTTATGGATTCTTGGTACATTCCTATAAGCATGTATCTGTGATTAACTGTAACAATATGTTGGTCAAAAACCTGAAAACTCTAAACCACTGTCCCTCCACTTGGCACTGTTGGCTTTGACATTTGGGGTCCAATAATTCTTTGCTCTGGGAAATGTCCTGTGAGTTGAAGGACATGAAGCAGCATCCCTGGCCTCTGTGCACCAGGGGCCAGTAGCATTCCCCAGTTGTAATGATGAAAATGTTCAGACCCAGGAAAGTGTCACCTGAGGGACAGAATTGCCCCTAGCTGAAAATTTCTCATTTAGGCAACTCCATTGACCCCCAGACACTACGCATTCCACAATTATCTGACTGACTGAAGTCCTAGGATGCCAAACAATTATAAATGCCATAGACTCCCCTTATCTTTGGTTTCACTTGCAGCAGTTTGTTACCTGTGCTCCACTATACTTTGAAAGTATTAAATGGAAAATTCCAGAAATAAACGTCATAAATTTTAAATTGGATGTCATTCTGAGTAGCATGATTAAAATCTCTTGCCATCCCACTCTGTCCCACCCAAGATGTGAATCATGCCTTTGTTCAGCATATCCACCCTGTATATGCTACCTGCCTTTTAGTCATTTACTAGCCATCTCAGTGTCAAGGTATCACTGTCAAGGTATTGTAGTGCTTACATTCAGGTAAACCTTATTTTACTTTGCAATAACTCCAAAGAACAAGAGTAATAATGCTGGGCCTAGCGTGAAGCTCAGTTTTACAGCACTTGCCTACCATGCATGAGGTCCTGGGTTCCAGCTCCGCCAGCAAAAAAAAAAAAGTACTGATGCTGGCAATGCAGATACACTGAAAAGAAGCTTCAGTGTTCTTCCTTTAAGTGAAAAAAAAATGAAAGTTCTTGACTTATGAGGAAAGTAAAAAATCATATGCTGGAGTTGTTAAGATCTACCATAAGAATCTTCTATCCATGAAGTTGTGAAAAAAGGAAAAAAGATCAGGTTAGTTTTTCTGTCACACCTCAAACTGCAAGTCCTGGCCATGGTGCATGGAAGTGCTGAGTCAAGGAAAAGGCAATAAATTGCAGGAGTCGATGGTGTCCACAGTTTCAGGTATGCACTTACGGTCTCAGAAACCTCTCCATGGACAAGAAGGGACCACAGTATGCACATCAAGGGCTCTTGCAGTAAAGGTCATGGATGGAGCATGTTTTTAGCTCCTCCGACTCCTTCCAGCCTGTCTGGCAACTTTCCCAGATGTTCTGATTTGTTTGATGCTGGGCATCAAACCCAGGGCGACGTGCATGCCAAGCCTGTGCTGTGCCACGGAACCACACCTCCATCCCAGACCCGTCCAGACTGTGCCACTGTCGTGGTCCAGCACCTGAGGGGAAACAGCGCTCTGGTCTATCTGGTAAGCAGGATGCAGAGTGGAGCTATGACCTCGAAACACGGACATGGAAGAATCATGGAGAGCCTGTGCACAGAGCTGGAGAACTAGCTTAGCAGTCCTCTTACTAACCAAGAACCCATTCGGGAGGCTCGGCTGGTTCAGGGAGCTGGATGCAGGAATGTATGCAGTCGGGTGTGCGCAAGATGACAATGTTTCAAGTCCATCTAGAGTCTAGTTGGGCAGCCATAGCCATGGGGAAGAACTATGTGAAAGGGAATTCTTCCTGATAAAAGGTATAATGCAGCTCTGGAGCTTGAAGGAGATATCCACAACCATCTTGTTTGTTTGTTTGTTTGTTTTGGTGCCGGGGATTGAACCCAGGGACACTTGACCACTGAGCCACATCCCCAGCCCTATTTTGTATTTAGAGACAGGGTCTCACTGAGTTGCTTAGCACCTCGTAACTTGCTGAGGCTTGAGATCCTCCTGCCTCAGCCTCCCAAACTGGGATTAGAAGCATGCACCACCACAGCCCACAGAGCCATCTTAACCCAAGAGCTGAAGGACAAAGGCAAAAGAAGATAATGTAGGGGCTGGGGATGTGGCTCAAGCGGTAGCGCGCTCGCCTGGCATGCGTGCGGCCCGGGTTCGATCCTCAGCACCACATACAAAGATATTGTGTCCGCCAAAAACTGAAAAATAAACATTAAAAAATTCTCTAAAAAAAAAAAAAAAAAAAAAAGATAATGTAGAAGTCGGAATCCACAACAAAGCCAGATTTAGGAGGCTTACTCCAGTTGCCGTGGAGAAATATTTGAAAAGTCTCTAATTTCAGATCACTTGTCTAAGTAAGTATGTTTAAATGTTTTGTTTTGCAAACTTTTCATGCTTACTTCTACCTGGTTTCATGGTCTGATTTTTTTTTTTTTTTTTAATATTTATTTTTTAGTTATCGGCGGACACAACATCTTTGTTTGTATGTGGTGCTGAGGATCGAACCCGGGCCGCACACACGCCAGGCGAGCGCGCTATCGCTTGAGCCACATCCCCAGCCCTCATGGTCTGATTTTTTAAAATGACAATAAATCATAATAAACGGTTACATTCACCTTCCCGCTTTTTAGGAGTTAGTCCTTTCTCTTGTTGAGATAGGGTCTCGCTTCCTGGACACAGTGATCCTCCTGCCTCAGCCCATGAGGGGCTGAAACTGGTCACAGGCCACCATGCCAAGCAGGAGTTAGTGAAATGTTAACATCTATTTTCTCTGATTCTTATCACAGCTGACTTCTGGAAACTACTATACGAAGCAGAATAATGAAACCTCTCTTTAGTTTCTTTAATTAAGTATTGGTTAAGTCAAAGTAACAAGACCTGCTACCCTCTTTACTATCAGACCTTACCTGCCCAGAGAATCTGCAGACTGTGGTGGGAAGACAGATGTCTTCAGGTGTTGTTAAGTGGGAAACAGGGAACCCCTGGCTGCCTTCGAGATTGTATTGGAGCTACAGAAATTGCAAAGCCAAATTTGTTTCCTATAGGAGACATATTACACAAGTGAAATTTTAAAAAATGTTTTGCTAAACACACACACACACACGGAGGAAAGGAGGTCAGTCCTGAAAGCTGGGGGGATAGCACTGGTTTATAACATCTCACACATCAGGAATTTATTCTGGGGGTCTAACTCAATTTTTTTCCCCAAATAATAATGCAGGTTTTCTCTGCCTCAGCCTTACTGACATTGGTGCTGAATCAGACTCTGTGCTGGGGCATCTTCCCTGGCCTCTACCTACCCCCAGCCAGAAGCTAACACTCACACACACACCCCACCCACACACGAAGAACCATTGCCCAAAGTGAGGGGCTGAACCACATAGCCAGCATTGCCCACCCAACTTACAAGAGTCCCAAGTCCTCTTCTGGGTGAGCCTTGGGGTTTAAGAGGCATCCTGGGGGGCAGAGCTGGAGGATGCCAGCTGAAGGTGGCCTCAAGAGGTCTGTCCTTCATTTAAGGGGCTGTACATTAAGTCTTGCCCAGATCTTGAATGCAATTGTGATAGATATAATTAATTATTGGCTCTGTTCCTGGTAGTTGCTAATTGCCCATCTCCTCAGCCCTTCCCAGCATTCCTGGAGGGCCAACTTTCTCCACTTCCCCGTCTTGAAAAGGGGACAATTTCAGGCACAGAAGTGGCCTGGAGCAAGGTCATAGAGCTAATAAGAAATGTGAAGTTGGAGCCCAGCACCCGCCTGTAATCCCAGCAGCTCAGGAGGCTGAAGCAGGAAGATAGAGTTCAAAGCCAGCCTTGGCAAAAGCAAGGCGCTAAGCAACTCCGTGAGACCCTGTCTCTAAATAAAATACAAAATAGGGCTGGGGGTGTGCTCAGTGGGTGAGTGGCCCTGACTTCAATCCTCGGTGAGAGAGAGAGGGAGAGAAAGGGAGAGGGAGAGGGAGAGGGAGAGGGAGAGGAGAGAGAAGAGAGAGAGAAGTGAGAGATGTTCATACTGGAGCAGAGGGGCGAAGATCTGCAGGAGCCCACCACCACCACCGTGTGTAATCCAGCCCCAGCCTTAGATGGTGATGCTCCTCCCTCAAGTCAGACCCACGGTGACTCCACCTGCAAAAAGCCCAAAGCAGAGGTGTCCAGAGGAGCCCCCAGCTCCCCACAGTCTCCACCAGCTTCCACAAGGGTTGCTAACCTAAACTGGTTGCTTATTCCGCAGCTTCCAGACGAGTCCTCCGAAACCAACCCCCGCTGCCTGCACCCCACCTCACCTCGGGAGCCCCAGTTTCACCCCACTCGCAGCCCTCCCGGCGAAGGCGAGGGTTCTGGGGAAAGAGGCCTAAATGCAATGGGAGGCTGGGGGCAGAAACTTGAGGCTGGGGCTGGGCGGGATGGGGCCCGGCAGGGTTTCCAGCTCCTGCTGACGCTGGGCTCCCGCCTCCCCCGCCCCATTTCTCTGAAACCCGGGTGGCGCCGGAGCCAGGAACTGAAGACGCCTGCAGGGCCTCCGCCCCCTGCCCCGGGGTGGGGCGAAGGGACCCAGGCACGACCTAGGCTGGGCCCGGGGAGCTCTCGGAGGCCTCGGAGGAGAGAGATCCCTCCTGTCCCCCACACCCGCCCCTCCGTCCCGGGGCGGGATCTGAGGGCGGAGCGGCCGGTGGTGACGCGGACCCCGCCCGCTCATATAGAGGCATCCCGGGGGCGCAGGGATAGAGCTTCGTCGCCGCCGCATCAGTCGCCCTCGCCGCCGCCGCAGCAGCAGCTCAGAGCGTCCGCGACACCGCCGCCGCGTCCACCAGCAGCGCCACCACCATGCGGGAGATCGTGCACCTGCAAGCCGGCCAGTGCGGCAACCAGATCGGGGCCAAGGTGCGCGGGGTCGGGGCCGAGAGGAGCAGACCCGGGGCGCAGCTAGCTCCCCCAGGCTCCCCGACCTAGGGCCTGGCGGGACCCGGTCCCCAGGAGGCAAGCGCCCCCGGGATGGTGGGGGAGGGGCGCTGGGGGCAGGGCCAGGCTGGGAACAAAGAGGCCTGTCAATCGGGCCTAGGGCCCAGCCTTCTGTCTGCTGGCCACAGCTGGCTTCACAGCTGGCCCACTGTCCCCTCCACGCACAAAGGGACGGCGCCCCTCCCCCGGGCTGCGGCCTGGGTGCGCTGGCACCAGCAGGCTCGGGCTCACCCCGCCCCCACCTCTTCCTTCTTGCTGCCTCATCCTCGCCATACCTCTAGGTCCCCCAGTCACCTGGCTGGGAGCCCCGGGGTGGGTGGTGAGCTGCAGCTAGGGAAGTGGTTCTGGGGGGATCCGAGGCCCGGCCACCTGGTCCCCCTCTCTCATCCCTTCCCATCACTTCCTGCTCTAGTTTTGGGAGGTGATCAGCGATGAACATGGCATCGACCCCACCGGCACATACCATGGGGACAGTGACCTGCAACTGGAAAGGATCAATGTCTACTACAATGAGGCCACAGGTAGGGTGGGGGGCACCTTCTGGTGTGGGGGTGTGGGGGTGTGGGTTGGCTGGGAGGGGACAGGATGCTCTCGGGCGCCTGTGGCTCCTGGCGCTCACACCAGCTGCCCTCCATCTGCCTCCCTGCAGGAGGGAACTACGTGCCCCGAGCCGTGCTGGTGGACCTGGAGCCCGGCACCATGGACTCCGTCCGCTCCGGCCCCTTTGGCCAGATCTTTCGGCCAGACAACTTTGTGTTTGGTGAGTTCCAGGGGTGGGGCCCAAGGAAAGGAGCCCCTTATTCCTTCACTCCCGGTGCCTTGATGAGAATTCCCTAGCTAGCACCAGAGTTGGCAGTGACCACTGAGTCCCAGAATGGACAGAGAAGTCAGGGACGTGATGGGGTCAAACAGGTCACGGTGGAGGCCCTGAGGAGGGCCTGGACAGCAGAGGGATCTGGCGGGCTTCCTGGATGAGGTGGCATTTTAACTGAACAGTCGGACTAGAGCCAGGTTGCAGGGTGCAAGCCCCGAGCTCTGCCAACTCATGCACTGGACAAAGAGTTAATGAGCTCTGACGACACTCCAGGCCCTGCACCAGAAGCTGGGGTACAGCAGAGAACAAAGCAACCTGAGCTGCCTGCTGTCGGGGCCCACTCCCTACCCAGGCCTTGAGCTGCCATCTTGGTGGGGAGCCCGCCGCAGAGATCCGTTAGTACAGCCCAGCCCTGGACTGTCAGCTGGGTGACTTTGGACAGGCTCCATAACCTTTCATGACTCAGTTTCCTCATCTTCAGACAGGGATATAGATGATCTACTGTTTAGAACCAAGGAGATGGCGTAAAGCTCTCACTGTGTGTAAAGAACTTAGCATACAGGAAAGGGTAAATAAGCATGTATTGTAGTTGTTTCCATTATCATTATAAATACCTGCCACCTAACAGGTGAGTGGGACAAGGACTGGCCAAGGGACTTGGAGAGAATAGCATACGCAAAGTCAGTAAGCACAGTTTTGGAACTTAGACTCAAGGAGGTACTGGTGCTCAGTCATAGTCCTTATTGGGAGCTCTTTTCAAGATTGGGCTGGTCACATATACCCTACCCTGACCTAGGCCCCAAGCTCCACCCTCCCCCAGAACCCTTGTAAGCCTTTTGCTCTGAACATGGTGGCTTGAGTCTGAAGTCTGAATAAGCTGTGTGACCTTGGACAAGTGACTTCCCCTCTCTGATCTATACAAAGATTCTGAGAGATGATGATGCACCAATGTGGGCATGATACCTAATGGGTCCTCAGGAATGGCTGTGGAAAGAGACACAACTGAGGTTTGAGGCCTTTTTGAATAACCATGGGTGGCTCGCAGTTGGGCCAAGTGATTCTATGGCACATGCTGAAAGTGGACTCGGGCCAGACCATCTGGACAGAGCCCTAGCTGTCCCACTTGCTTGCAGTGTGACTTTTCACACAGGAGCTAGTCTCTCTGAATCTTCATTTTCTCATCTATAAAATGGAAGTAAAAAGAGTATGTAAGCTGAGCACTGTGGCACATAGCTGTAATCCCAGCAACTTGGGAGGCCAAGGCAGGAGGATCACAAGTGTGAGGCCAGCTTCTTAGCAAGATCCTGTCTCAAAATAAAAGACAAAAAGGGCTGGGGATGCAGCTCAGTGGTAAAGCACACCTGTGCTCAATCCCCACTACCCTCCCCAAAAGTATGTAAGTACCTCAGAGAACTGGGGGAAAGATTCAGAGATGCAGGACGTGCCCAAGCTTAGGGCCTTTGGAAGCTCCTGGCTCTAAAGGACTGTGTTCCAGACACAGCCAGGACAAGTCTTCCTCCCCGTGGGTCTGCTCCAGCCGGGAGTCAGACACAGGAGTCCCTCAGATAAACACATCACAACATGCAAAAGGTTGAGAGCGGCAGGTATAGGAAGAAAAATAAACAATCTAAAGGCGTGGAGGAGGATCCATATGTTGGATCCTTATCCTATCTGGGGATTGTCATCTCTGAAGAGGTGACATTGAGCAGAAAGTGAGGGAGGAGCCCTGAGGAAAAAGAATCCAAGGCCGCCAGAACCGCGGTGCAAAGGGCCTGAGGCAGACCCAGTCTGGCCTGTTAGGAGAACAATGAGGAAGTCCTGGAGGCTGGAGCAGGTTCCCTGGTGGGGACGCAGCCCCCAGGGCTTTGGGAGGAGGACCTGGGCTTTTACCCCGTGGGAGGTGAAGGCCAAGGTGGGGCTGAGGCTCAGGTATTCACGGGCGCCCTCTGGCGGCTGCAGAGAAGACAGGCTGTGGGGGTGGGGTCGGGAGCCCGTTTCAGGTGAGTGAGGATGGAGCTGGACCAGGGGGAAGCAGGTGTTGTCAATAATAACAGCCAATATTCTAGTACTTGACCTTGTCCTCCTGCAGCTTGCATTCCTCTGTGAGATTCCAGGCAATAAACATGATTAATCTGAAAACAAGTTTGTCAGTACCCAGGGACGAGGAGTAAGAAGTCAGGGGTTGAGCCACAGAGTGGCAATTGCTGAGCCCCACGAAGTCTTGAAGGAGGAACCTGGGGGCACAGCATTCCCGGCAGAGGCACATCCGGTGCAAAGGCCCCAGGGCAGGACCAAGCCTGGCTGTTGGAGGAGCCCTGGTGGCTGGAGCAGAGGAAATGAGGGGGAGGGATAGCGCAGGTCCACAGGTCGGCTACTGGTCAAAGACAGGAGAAGGGGAGACCGGCTCCGTGGTGCAGCCTTCATCCAGCTACTCTGACGCCAACCTGGGCAATTTAGCAAGACTCAAAACAAAAATAAAGAAGGGCTGGGGGTGCAGTTCAGTGGTGGAGAGGCCCTGGGTTCGATTCCCCAGTGCCGCAAAAGACAGGAGGGGCATCTGGGGGTGGTTTTGAACTAAGGTGGGACACAACCTGATTTCCGTTTCCCATCCTCTGGCTGCTGGGCAAACTCAGGACATGGAGGGAAGCAGAGAGAACAGTTAATGATAACGATAGCAATTTGTGCTACTGTGCAGTGAATTGAGCACAGACGGCAATCATGTGCTGTACATTTCCAACACTTAGAAGAAAGGATTTTTTTGTGGG